ATTGGAAAAAATATTCACATGATATAAATGGTTGTTGATAATGTTGATGTACTATTTACTTGGTCTGTGCATATTTCCAAATATGGTAATGAATAAAAATATAGGCAGAAAATGAGAAGAAAAAGACACAAAATAATAGACTATTGTTAACAATATTTAGATACTGTATACATGGTCTGTGAATATTTCCTAATATGGTAAATGATACAAATATAGCTAGAAAAACAGAAAAGAAAATAGAAAAAGAATAGACATACCATCACAACTGAATGCAGAATGATACACCATGCAGATCAACACATACATAGAGCAGACTCTCAAATGTTACTGTGGTACTACAGTGACATCAATTCTGAGGTTGAAATTTGACTCATTGTGAGAACTTGGTGAGGACTCAGCAGCCTCAGCCATCACATCGCTTTGAAATTTTGACAGTCTGCCCTGTGCATGTGTTGGTCTAGCGTGGCTTATCATTCTGCATTCAGCTGTAACTGTTATTGACAATGTTGGTGTATAGTGCACATGGTCTGTGCATATTTCCAAATAAGGTGATTTGTGCAAATATAGCCAGAAAATTACAATAAAATATAAGAAACATTAAAGAAAATATTAGATGGTAGTCACTGTTGGTTATGATGTTGCAGAGCTAAAATCAGAGTAAATAAGGCAAGATTACTATTTTAAATGAAAGTCATTTAGAAAATATGGTAAAAATGAGAAAAAATAGGACTTGTTGTTGGGTACTGTTGTATATCTAAAAAAAGAAAATTCAAGTATTTGTAATAGAGAGATCAGAATTCTAAGAGATTCTAACCATTCCTGCAGAAATAGGTGGGGCACAGTAAAGTACTGGTAGTCAGCATGTCATTATGGTCAACAGATATGAATACATCATATCATATTATACATATTTATAACTTCAGACACTGACAATCCTCAGAGCTCTCTGCAGTGCTCAGAAATATACCTCTATAAAAGTGAAAAGAAAAACAAGCTGGCATAGTCATAGAGAGACTTCAGGAACATACTTCAGTGAAGAAATATGGCTTACACATCAGTAATAATTCAGTAAAGTAAGGCTAGTCTATTATAGATAGTTATTAATATACACTCAACATAAAAGCGGTCAGTAACAACCTTTATTATCTGATAGAGCAGAATTTAGAGGCTATAACTATATAACAAATAGCTTATTACCAATAGATAGAGCTGAATGCAATATATAAACTGGTTTTTCTATAATAAAAATACAATATAAAATAAAAGGGCAAGTTTAGGACCAAAATGATCTTTATCATAAATTTTGTAGAAAAGTTTGAATGGTCAGAAATTTTTGAAGTTTTTTTTTTGAAACTAGGACCCCAGATACTCCATGACACTGGCAGGAAATTTTTTGCCTATGTGACATGGCTTAAACATTTCCGAGCAGTGTGACATGGTC